AAAAAATAAGTCATTCTCTCTTTTTTCTGTTGTCCCTCTTTCTCAGTTTCTTTCTTTCTTTTTACTTCTTTCCTTCTTTCTTTCTTTTTAAATGGAAGGAAGAAAGGATCATTCTCTTTTTTTCTCTGTCAAATTAGTCTCATTGTTTCTTTCTTTTTTAAGAAGAAAAAAGAATCTTTTTTTTAAAAGATTTCTTTCTTTCAACGAAAAAAAAAAGAAAATCCCTCTTTCTCAGTTTTGATTCTTTTGAAGAATGCAAAAAAAGAAAACTTTCCTTCTTTGGTTCTTTTTAAATAAACAAACAAAGAAAACTTTCTTTTAAATTAGAATCAAATAAATCTTTCATTCTCTCTTTTTTCTGTTGTCCCTCTTTCTCAGTTTCCTTCTTTCTTTCTTTCTTTCTTTCCTTTTACGTTTTTCTTTCTTTCGTTGAACTTAAAAACAAAAACAAAACCCAAACACTCAGTTCTTTCTTCAGTATCTTTCTTTCAGTCAATCTTTTTTAATTTGATCCTCAGTTCCTTCTTTCTTTCTTTCTTTCTTTCTTTTTTCAAAATGAACTTCTCTAACCTCTTTTAATTTCTTCAAAGAATCAGAAAGAGACATAAATTAAGTCAACATCAAGGATTTGATGAAGCATTTTAAAATTATTTATTTCTGTCTCTCTTTCTTTCTTTCAGAATTTTCTAAGCAAGAAACAAAAAACTTTTATCCTCCATTCTGCCTTCAAATGAAGAATTGAAAAAAAAAAACGAAAGGAAAAAATGAAGAAAGATAAAATAAAAATAAAAAAACAAATAAATTTTTGTTCGACATTTGGAAAACGCATAAATAAAATGAAAAATATAATATTTAAAAATGATGGAATGAACATTGTTTTTTAAACGGCAGTCCAATTCTCTAAAAGCTGGTAACTGTGATCATTTTTTAGAAACCATTATCACCATTATACCAAGAAAAGCCAAAAAAAAAAGGACAGATTTCATCAACCAACTGAAATAAACAAAATCCCGCAAGTGATGCAAATGCGATCTGCAATTTAACAATGATATTAATAAATAAATAATCTGCAATTATTCCTAAACAAGTTCTCGGCTCAAGACATTTAACAGCTGTAACTATATTTCTGACATGAGGTTCTATAAATACGAGGGTCATTCAATAAATAAGGTGAATTTTTCGGTATAAGGACTTTTAATACAGATAGAAGCTTACTTTTTTTTTTCTTATTTTATTTTTTTACACATGGGTTTAATTTCTTTTGCAGATTAAAAAAAACACTTTTGAGAGTTTTGGCGATTAACAAAGATGGCCGACCAAAAAGCATGCTCCAGGATTGAACAGCGGTCAGTTATCAAGTTTTTTGGTTGCTGAAGGGTGCAAACCAGTTGAAATTCATAGGAGAATGTCAACTGTGTATGGTGCCTACATGTTTCAGCCAAAAAATGTCTACAAGTGGGCTAAATTGTTTAAAGAAGGACGGAGGATGAAGACAGGCCTGGGAGGCCTACAGAAATGAGGTCTCTTGGGGTGATCGAATCAGTCAAAGACCTCATTCAGTCTGACAGAAGAACTATGATGTGAACTGACTTTTGAGCAGATCTGTTGGGACATAAGAACAAACTCCATGATGATCAGTCAGAAGGTCATCTTGCATCATGACAACGCAAGGCCTCACACAGCAGCCCCAACGGTGCAGACCATCAACCAGCTGGGCTGGGAACTGTTCCCTCATCCCCTTCCAGCTCAGACCTTGCCCCTTTCAGACTTTCACCTGTTTGGTCCCTTGAAAGCGTTCACGAGACGCACGAAGTTTAAAAGTGACGATGAAGTCAAAAGTGTTTTGAGCGATTGGCTGAGACATCAGTCTAAAGATTTTTACGCTGAGGGAATACGGAAGCTTGTGGACAGATGGGAAAAGCGTGTGACAGTGTTGGGAGACTACGTTGAAAAAAAAAGTAAGCTTCTATCTGTATTAGAAGTCCTTATACCGAAAAATTCACCTTATTTATTGAATGACGCTCGTATTCACACTGTTTACATAGTTTCTCATTTTTATTGCCAAATTCACGACGTTTCGGCTGTTGTACGCTCCGGCCTTCTTCAGGTGATATACACTGGAATTTGGAACGGAACAATTTATTTAGTCCACAGGGTTAGATCTTGTGTTTGTTTTTTATATCTCAATTTCAGTTAATCCCTCTTATTAACTCAACTTCCCAACTTTTTCTTCCCTCTGCTGTGGATCGGTATTGAACTCACATCGCCTAGTGTATAAAAGCGTTGTGAAAAAGAAGTAATCCGAAAAAGTGACTTGTCTGAAAGAGTTGTGTTTAATACAGTATTTAAATTCTTCGAAGTCGCGGTACTAAAGAGGAAAGCTCATAACTGGCAAGAAAATATTTATAGAAAAAACTAGCAGCATGGCCCGGCGTTGCCCGTCCTTGATTCAAAAATCGAACGACTCATACAGCAATCGCTATCACTTGACTTAAAATATTTTTGCCCTTCCTTGCCTTTAAAGGAGTGCCCTTTGCCGTGCTGATGTTGCTAAATACCTTACTTCTTGCCTATCTCACACTGCGTATTTTTCTAATCTCTATACTAAACATTAAATCTGTTACGAAAAACGAACTAAACAAAATGAACACAAAACGACCAGCTTTAAAAAAAGACTCGTAACTGGAAAAACCGAATGAAAAAAGAATGTTAACAACAAATACTTTTTCACACCCAACCCAGTTCTCCGGAATCAGAATCAACGTTGAGTTTAAGCAAGCGAATGAGCCAATTGGAGTAAAATGCCATGCAGATTTAATTTTTTCCACTTGTGATGAATGCAGCTATCGACTTTTTTTGTTGCATGCTATCAATGCTAGTAATTATTCGTGTCAGTCAGCTGTTGGCTCTCACGCTGGTCAATAAAATCTTCCTGCCTATTCGCTGCAGCCAGCTATAGGTTCTCACTCTGGCCAGTAGAAAATGGACGCTAACTACATGAAAACTGCCGTAGAAGCATGAAAAAATCGATTATTTCCACTATCGATGGGAGTTGGGAAATGCAATGTCGGTCTTGGCCTTTCCACTAACTTGGAGCATGTGCATGTAAATTTTGGTGCAAATCCGTCGAAAATTGCGGCCGTGCATTCGTTACACACGCACACACACACACACACACACACAAACACACACACACACACACACACACACACACATACACACATATCCTGCCTTTCATGGAGAAGATATGTTACGGTGAAGGAGATGTAATTGAAGCCGAGATGCCAGGTCTTGATCTATAACATTTCAGATTCTTCTTTAATTATTTTCAAGAATCTCGACATACATAGGAGAAGCGCCATAATAGACACGTCAACACTATACAAAGCACAAATGAATGACATATATACTGGGTATAACAGCAAAAATATCCAGATCATTAAACTGCATAATTTCCATCCAATAAAATGTTCCATATCTAAAAACCCACTAAACTAATTGCGTTTCTTTTTTCTAGGTTTCCAGATAAGACGTTTAGCCATCTTGACACCAACTATCATAAGAATCACTGAAAACCCCTTTGAGTTATTCAACTAGAAAAAGAACATGTTAAAATGGTTTTGTTTCATTCCCACCGTCTTCCCAAGTGAGTATTGGTGTGAAGAAAAGATCATTCCGCACTTCAGTAGTGGTATCAAAATTCATACTCCCGCTTTTATCTTCAAATCTATTCAAGAAACATCCAGAGAACAGTGGATAACTTTAAAAAAAAATGAAACAGGGAATAACTGAATCAGGAGGTCACAAATGAAAGAAGAATCATCATTTCATCTTAGAAAACCAATTAGAAAAGATCCAACTCAATCTGTAAGACGTTTCGTACAGAAGAGAGTTTCAGTTATGACAGTCCAAAAAACAGTGAACAAAAGACTTGAAAATGAAATCGTACGTTAAACTTCTGAGGCACCTTGTTACTCAGTACACAAGATTAGTAGGATAGATAGGGAGACTACTTGAATAATAATCCTAGAACAATATATATATATATATATATATATATATATATATATATATATATATATATATATGTATATATTTGAATTTCATTTCAATCCTCGATGAGCTTCCGTTCGTAAGCTATGATTAATTCATGATGAACGTGTCATTTTTCTTTACGATTGATTTCATCACGATTCTTCTGTTAAGGTTCGTGAATACATTGCGATTCCTCAAAGTAGACTCCAATTTTGCTATAAAAACCTGGAAGAATTCCAGCAGAGATATATTTATTCATTTCTAAGACACAACGGCTCAAAGCTTAATCTAAAAATTAAACAATTTTGCTAGTACACGATTTGCACAATTTTGCTGCTACACGATTTTAAATATTTTGCATTCTTTTGTTACAGAGGTGGAAGAGAAAATAGCCTATCATGACACAGCGAACCCACTTTTCTTGCTGCAGCTTTAGCAACCGATACGATAAAATAAAAAAATGAAAGTACGTGTGGCTAAAATGTATATTCCGTTAAAAGGGCTTCCCGAAGCAAAATATAAATAGGTTAATTTCTCTCATTGTAAGGATATTCTTTATTTCTAGTCAGTGCTGAATTCGCCTCTCACTAGTACTGAAGGGGGCTGAAATAGACGTGAAAAGGTTAATCAGAGCGGGCAATTCTTCAGATGAGATTTTTGAGAATATAATATTTGAAATAATGTTATTGTATCTGCAAATAAAGACGACAGGTGACCGGAAAAGTTAAACCTGTTCGAAAGGTTTGTTCAACATGCTTGGCGGAATATTGCAGTGAATTTGTAGAATTCTAAGTTTCCATAGAAACCATTTTGCGTATGATAAAGATAATATATTCGCTGAGGTCACTGATTCGTTAATGCGAAATAATATGCAGGAATATACGCCGAGAATAAAATAAACAATACCACATTTGGGAATACAAAAGGAAAACGTTTTTTAAAATGATAGATACATAGAAATACCTTTAGTGCGTGGGAGAGACAGGGAGACAAGGAGAGGCAGAGAGAGAAAGAGAGAGGATAGATAGATAGATAGATAGATAGATAGATAGATAGATAGATATGAAATGATCTACATAGATAGATAGATAGATAGATATGAACACAATGGGAAATCGACACAGATGATCATCTACAGAGTTACATATAAATGGGAACAGGTATATATAACAAAGACACCTAAGTAGGTAGGTAGGAATGTATATAGGGAGATGTGAGAAGAATGACGCACAGATATATGGTTATAAATATGAATAGATAGATAAATATGAACATAGTCATATATATATATATATATATATATATATATATATAGAGAGAGAGAGAGAGAGAGAGAGAGGTAATAGATAGATATCGATATGAACAGACAGAAATAGTTATATATATATATATATATATACAAGTATAGGATTGGTGTATATGGAATAAATTCAATAACCAAAAAATACTGTTCTTAAAAGAGTGCTCAATACAAAATAAAGCAAATATTATATATTCGAAAATTATAACATAAATATGTTATAAAATCACTACAAAAAATGTCATTTTGTTTCAACACTTCTGGTTACTTATCATGTGATGGTGTTGAATGTAGAAAAGTAGATAATATTCTACATTGAACGCCATCACTTGATAAGACATAAAAGTGTTGAAACAAAATTTCTATTTTATAGTGATTTTGTGACATATTTATAATTTTCGAATATATATATATATATATATATATATATATATATATATATATATATATATAATATAAAGAAACATAGTCTTAGGTATGCTATATTTATGGGATAAAGTGCTCAATATCAGGGATAGAGCGTGTAAATATATAAAACTGAACATAGAAGTCAACACTTAGAGGCGACATACTGTTTCATGCTATATGCAATCGTCGGGCCACATTTTTTTCAGTTTTATATATATATATATATATATATATATATATATAGAGAGAGAGAGAGAGAGAGAGAGAGATGGAGAGAGACACAGAGAGAGAGAGAGAGGCAGACTGAGATAGATATGAACAGACTGAGATAGATAGATAGATAGATAGATAGATAGATATTAGCATATTGAGATTGCTACATGTTGAAGACCGGCAACATAAGTTGTTATACACAGTTGTTATATTGTTTTGCAAATGCTTTTATGCTTGCTAGTGCTTTTCATGTGACGTGGAAGATTGGAACGGTTTCTGTCGGTTTTATAAAATACCGCTCATATTTAGTTTTCCCCAGCATAGTATTCATCTTCTTGAAGTGTAGGCATCCGATTTTACATCTACCAATGGCCGTAAGTCTATATAGCAATTCTGCACTTCCAGCCCGCCAGATCTGTACGTATCAGCATTTTACAATTTACACTGGACTTCAGGAACATGAGCAACAACTGATGTTAGGATGTCAAAAATGCCCGTGATAATCATCAGATTCTGCCTGCAAAGATTCACATTACAGTGAAAAGCAGATGCGAGAAATATGGAATAGCAGTGAGGCAGGTATTACAACGGTGTTTCTCAAACTTTTTCAGCAACGGCACACCTAGGAGCAAATGAAAATATCACAACGCACTTAGCCAAATTTTTAAATGGCATAAATTTAAATGTTATGAAATAAAAGCATAGATCTTTCTCAAAATAAACATACAAATGTGAACTTAATTTATTCAAATGTTTCTATTCAAATATTTGTGCAACTTATTTCGTGTGAAACCTGTGTCTGGTAATTTGTTGCGGTTTCTTCAATGTTTGGCCGAATACACGATAAACAGACACTCATTTCTTCGTCAGTTGAACCTACTGTTCCTCGCTTCTTATTTTCTATGTTATTTATAATATTAATTTTTTTATAACACGCACACACGTACTTAGTTTTGGAGAGGATGCAAACAAGGAGAAATCTTATACTTAACAGCAGAAAGAGGTAGCTGAAATTTCGGGGAACCGTAATATGAAAGGATGGCCTGGAGAGTCTGGTAATCACAGGTCGAATAGAAGGAAAGAGAGACAAGGGAAAACAACGCATATCATACCTGGCAAGGCTTAAGCAAGTGGGTGGCAGAACGTGGTCTGGAGGAGCTGGCAGAAAGACGAAACTTATTGTCAACTACAAGAAATAGTGGGAAGTGGAGAGCCATGATTGCCTACGTCCTAAAGGGACACGGCACATAAAAAGAAAAAGAAGCCACTACATTCCTGACTGAATATTTCTTCATGTCTGTGAAAATACGAAGAAAAAGTCAGTCCTTCGTCAGGATTGGATACAAATTCTGAAACGCTGTTTTGCACCGCGTCTGGCGTTAAAGACGTTGAAGATTTTTTTTTTTCAAAGCCACTTCCAACAACTCTTGTTGTTGTTTTTGAAACTGTATCAACTGTTGGGTATTTTGTTGTTGCTGCTTCTGTTGTTGTTGTTGTTGAATTTCCACTATCGAAGATAAAATTTTCTTCAAGAATTCTTTTTTTTAACCAACGGGGTTGGAAACATTGTAAAACCTATTGTGCACTCATAATTTTCGAAAATCTTGTCACCGATTATTATAACTCCACTTATATTGAGGTGTTTGTTATACCGTGCTTGAGTTAAAATTCCTACTGGCCAACTATTGTAATTCCAGTTATAATGCTGCATTGATTTAGAGATCCACGCAGCCAAATATTATAACATCTTGTATTCGAGGATCCACGTCACCAGTTATCATAACTCTCTACTATAAGGTTATTGTTATGACATACACACATACTTGGCATAACGTAATTCGTTAAAGTATTCTCTATGCGTAATCCTGCCGAACGCCTGTAGAGTTAGTATGAAGATAGACTTCAAGACGACTGGTATCTACTCAGTTCCCCCCCACACCGAGATGAGTTATGATACGGGATTATTGGGAAACCCGTGTGTTTCCACCCGTGCCATTGGCCAAAATTTGCCAAGCCACCACAAAATCGCACTCGGGTACATTACTCGTTAGTTTATCTCAGCCGAGTCTTTATCCGAAGACAGAATCACTCTATAGCCGAAGGCAGATGCCATGTCGCTCTGCTGAAATACAGAGATTTTGTCACCCTCTTCCCGAACACAGAGGTCTTGTAACCCTCTGCCCGAACACAATGATCTTGTCACCCTCTGCCAGAAGACATAGGTCTTGTCGGGTACATTACTCGTTAGTTTTTCTCAGCCGAGTCTTTATCCGAAGACAGAATCACTCTATAGCCGAGGCAGATGCCCATCTGCCGCCCTCTGCTGAAATACAGAGATTTTGTCACCCTCTTCCCGAACACAGGGTCTTGTAACCCTCTGCCGAACACAATGATCTTGTCACCCTCTGCCAGAAGACATAGGTCTTGTCGGGTACATTACTCGTTAGTTTTTCTCAGCCGAGTCTTTATTCGAAGACTGAATCACACTATACTCAAAGACAGAGGTCTTGTCACCCTCTACTCAAAGACAGAGACTTTGTCACCATCTGCCCGAAGACAGAGGTCTTGACATCCTCAGCACGAAGAGAAAGATCTCGTCACCCTCTGCACGAAGACAGAGATCTTGTTATCCACTGCCTGAAGAAAGTGGTCTTCTCACCCTCTGTCCGAAGACAGAGATTTGTAACCCTCTGTCCGAAGACAGAGGTCTTGTCACCCTCTGCCCGAAAAGAAAGATCTTGTCACCCTCTGCCAGAAGAAATACCTCTTGTCGGGTACATTACTCGTTACTTTTTCTCAGCTGAGTCTTTATCCGAAGACTGAATCACACTATACCCAAAGACAGAGGTCTTGTCGCCATCTGTTCAAGTACAGATATTTTCTCACCCTCTGCCCGAAGTCAGAGGTCTTGTCACCCTCTGCCCGAAGAGAAAGATCTTGTCACCCACTGCCAGAAGACATAGGTTTTGTCACCTTCTGGTCGAAGACAGAGATCTTGTTATCCGCGGCCTGAAGAAATTGGTCTTCTCACCCTCTGCTCAAAGAATAGATTTTGTCATCCTCTGCCTGAAGACAGAGGTCTTGTCACCCTCTGCCCGAAGAGAAAGATCTTGTCACCCTTTACCAGAAGACATAGGTCTTGTCGCCCTCTGGTCGAAGACAGAGATCTTGTTATCCACTGACTAAAGAAATTGGTCTTGTCACCCTCTTTCCGAAGACAGAGATTTTTTAACCCTCTTTCAGAAGACAGAGATTTGTAACCCTCTTTCCGAAGACAGAGATTTGTAACCCTCTGTCAGAAGACAGAGATTTGTAACCCTCTGTCAGAAAACAGAGATTTGTAACCCTCTGTCCGAAGATAGATATTTGTAACCCTCATTCCGAAGACAGAAATTTTTAACCCTCAGTTCGAAGACAGGGATTTGTAAACCTCTCTCCGAAGACAGAGATTTGTAACTCTATGTACGAAGACAGAGATTTGTAACCCTCTGTCCGAAGATAGTGATTTTTAACCCTCTGTCCGACGACGGAGATTTGTAACCCTCTTTCCGAAGACAGAGATTTGTAACCCTCAGTTCGAAAACCGGGATTTGTAACCCTCAGTCCGAAGACAGAATTCTTGTCTAGTCTCGAGCCTGGGATTGACTCTGATTCGACTACTCACGACCTCAGAGAGTGGAAATATTTACAATATTGGATGATTTCATCGAGTGGTCTGCTCTTTACTCCACAACAACCTCTTTAAAATTTTCAATTAAACAAAGAATGTTAAATACCGTTATATGAAAATAGGGTTAACAGCCATTTATTCAAATAAAGGAAAATTTTAAAAATTGAAATTAAAAAAAATAAATATATTAAAAAAAAAGAATATTAAAAAAATCATTTAAAATAACATAATCGAAAATAGCAAAAAGAATTATTTGAAACAGTTTTAATAATTTTTCATTTATGCAAATACTAACCCTGTAACTTTACTACTTCCACACACACACACATATACACACACATACGAACACACATACACACACACACACACACACATATATATATATATATATATATATATATATATATATATATATATGTGAAAATATATAGAAAATAGGAAAAGAACTGGTTAGGTAAATAATCCAAAAGTTCCTTAGTATTTTAGTTATTATTTAAAAAAAATAGTGCTCGATACAAAAGTAGAGCATAAATATAATTATTTATTTAAAAATATGATTCCAACTCGCGACATAAGAGATCTCATTTTTCAAAACAAGAGCCGAATATTGGTAACAGCTAGGGCGAATTGTTTAAATTGGGTAGGCGTGTGTTGTTACTATGGAAATTTGGATTTCTATTATTAAAACACGTAAATTTCAGAAATACGTTATTCCAAAAAATTTCGCTTGAAGATGGAACAGAGCTTACTTTACCTCAATTTAATTCAAATAATTATATTGAAGTTTTCGGCTCTTGTTTTGAAACATGAGAACTCTTATGTCGCGAGTTGGAATCATATTTTTAAAAAAATTATATATATATATATATATATATATATATATATATATATATATGACGTAATAATATTTCGCTGCACAGTTAAGAGGAGTTTGAGAATCACTGTTCTAGACAGATGATTTATAAAATATTGCTGTCTATAACTCCGAGTCACCAGCCCAGGTATTTCTACACCGCCTGCTCTGCAAATAGATATATACATGTATTAATAAACTGTGATTGAAAAAAATTGATATAAAAAATTATGACAGGCAAACACACACACATTAAATATATTAGAATTAAAGATAAATATAGATGAATAATGAACAGACTGATATATATATATATATATATATATATATATATATATATATATGTGTGTGTGTGTGTGTGTGTGTGTGTGTGTGTGTGACGAAGAGGGCGACATGTAAATATACTAATATTGAAGTCGGCAGAGTGAGAGAGAGGGAGAGAAATGAATTTGGATAAATACAGAACTGTGTCAGACAGAGAAACAGATAGATAGATAGATAGATAGTAAAATTACAAAAAATATAATGGATTTTATAAATAAAAAGGGAAAAATGAGATAGATAAAGAGATAAATAGACTGACACACACACACACATATGTGTGTGTGTGTGTCTGTCCACGCTTGTGCAGTTAGATATAAGATATATATGAATGGAAAATGATATATATCATATAGACATGGGTCCCAACACGATAAAATAGAAGCAAGAACGAAAGATAACAATGAAAGAAAGAAAGTAAGAAAACATAGATAGATAGATAGATAGATAGATATGAATCGCTTCAGATAGATAGATAGATAGATATGAACGGACTGAGATTGATAGGAACAGACTGAGATAGACAGGAGCATAGTGAGATAGATAAATAGATAGATAGATAGATAGATAGATAGATAGATAGATAGATATAAAAGAAAAGAAAGAAAGAATGAAAGGAAACTCAATAATAAATGAAAAAAGATAGAAAGAAAACTGGAAAAAAAGAAATAATGAAAGAAAGAAAGAAAAAAGAGAAAAACAAACCACGATTGCTGAGTGATAGACACGAACAGATATAGCTGTGTAGAAATGGAGAAAATAAATTCTATTGATACAGCCAATTCGATCTGTTGTGTTGAATACAATTAACTAAGGACTTGGAAAATTGGATCGTTAGATCAATTGTAACACATACCGAAACATGGCGTGACTAAAGAGCGCCATAGCCAGCGTGATCAAACGACATGTATTGGATTTAAGAGATAATTAAGGAATGACAAGAGACCAACTCTGTACCCGTCATGTTGTGATGTTGCTTTGATCATACAATGCATATACTTTATCCATCCGGAACATAGCAAGCCTTTTTGGAATATATCAATAACTGGTTGCGTGGCCTTTATTTAATTTGGTAACCACATTAGAGGAGAATTTAAGGTTCATGCCTGAGTAGATATTTTATGTTGGGTAACTGTTGTAACCTAGAAAAGGTTACTGAATGAGGAATAAACAAAATGGAGGTTGGAAATGGCATCTTTATAATCTTTATAACATCAACAAAATAAAATACTCGCCAGCTGCGTGAGTAGGTAAACCACTGCTAATGGTGTACTACTTGGCATATTACCCCAACTTGCAATAGTGTCCGACGTATTTATAAGGACTGGGACTGTTGAGGGGTCCACCCCTTTTTGCACAAATAGACTCACCCAGTATATACATATACTACGGTTACGTGAAGACCTGAGAGCAAGGCGTGAGTAAAACAAAAGCAAGACCGAATAGTCGAGTCGAGTCGAGAGTGACAAAGTAAAAGGTTGTAGGTAACCGGAAGAGTGAGGGTGAGGTACTAGCGTTGTAAAGGAGTCACAGTGAGCGAGCACGGAGACTCAATACGAAGTCATTAACGACACTTCAATACCAACGACTGTATATATTTTTGCTACTAACCCGTATTTCTGGAACTACTAACCTGCTTTACCAGTTTATATTATTACGTTAATACATTATTTTCATATATTCATTCCTGATGTTTGTGATTTATTGGTACCAGATTTCAACACGGAATCTACAACAGGGACATAACCATAAGTATTCATAGTTACCTTATATAACAACCCCACTTTTTAGATTTACTTTGCATAGAGTCAATGTCTTTTCCTTATGGGGTCAATATCTCATCCTCGTCGCCAAAATGTTGTAAGCTAGAAAAGGTTACTAAATGAGGAATATCTAAAACGGAAGTTGGAAATGAAATGGTAATCTTTATAACATCAACAAAATACAATACTCGCTAGCGGCGTGAAGTAGGTAAACCACTGCTAGTGGTGGACTACTTAGACAGCAAATGACCCCCACTTACAATGGTGTCCGACGTATTTACCAGGATTGGGACATACCCGTTAGTGTTCATAGGTACGGTATACAGCAGTAACACAGTCAACATTGAAATCTATTGACAGGATTTGTGTATTGTATGACGGTAGCCTTTACATTTTGTTTTGTTTTAATTCATACAAAACCTCCAAATCTTGTGTCTGTCAACCTCAATCCTATAATTCATGTTTCCTCACAAGCGAAGTCTAGCCTGGAAAATTTAGCAGTCATAGATTGAGGGTAATAGAAATCGGTGTTTCTTGGTATTTCTAGTATTCTGTGGTTGTGGTTTTAAATGATATTTCTATTTTTTTTTTTCATTTTTTTTTCAATTTGTTCCACGTCTTCATGAATTTAAAGTTCGTTTAGACGCACACGTTCATGAAATTTTGCTTTTGTTTATTGGGATATAGCGTGTGTAAATATAAAAGTGGAGGCTGAGGGTAACACCAAATGGCAATAGCCTGTTTCATGCGTGAACGCAATCTTCAGGCCATGTGTGTTGTGGCTTGGCTCGTGGTAGCAAGATCAGGTATTCCCGTTTGTATCATCCTAACGGCTGTTAGCTAGCCGTTAGCTTATATTCCATATTATTCTAAAAACTATTCAGTAGAAATCATTGTCAGTCAAAATGTGGCTATTTGCAGTTATTCTGTAGTGTCGTTTGTTAATTTTAACGCATTATATTTTATTAATTACGTACTGTAAATTTATTTTTCCATTAATATTCTGACCCGTATATATTTATCGTCGAGATAAATATATCAACAGATATGGTTGGAAGTTTGCATTCAAACATGAAACTGAGGTCATCCTCAGTATATGATTAATGAATGACGTCTATAAAGTGGCTTTACACATTAAAATATAATACAAAAAACAATTGATGAGATATTTTAATCAAATTTGTTCTATGTACTCAGTAGTTGTCGAAGTTTTTAATCACATTGCTTTGTGCATTTCAGGTAGCCTGTTGATGAAATAGTTACTGTTAAATGAATCCCTAACATCTCCAAACAGGTGGACTAGAAGTGATGGACCAATTCCCTGGCTACCTTGTTCACCAGCTATCACTCCGCTGAACATATATGGGGTTATGTCAAAGATATCGTGTATTGAACAAAGATACGGGATGTAACTGATCTAAAGAAAAAAGATCACTGATGCCATTGCCACAATTGATGAAGCCATGCTACAACATGGCAAGGAATCGAATACCGTCTTAATGTGCTTCGTGCAACTAATGGTGCCCATATATAGAGGTGTATTATATAAGTTAAACCCAAAAAAACATCAATATCTACTCCTCATTTCGTATCAAGTCCTCCGTTCATTTGCTTTTGTAATATTTTTTAATGGACACCATGTATATATAGAAAATGATAAAAGTTATTCAATCGGGAAGAGCAAATTTCATTAATTTTGAATGATAGATAGATAGATAGATAGATAGAAGACCCCATTGAGATAGATTGATAGATAAATGACCACATTGAGATAGATAGATAGATAGATAGATAGATAGATAGATAGATAGATAGATAACCCCATTGAGATAGATTGATAGATAAATGAACATATTGAGATAGATAGATAGATAGATAGATAGATAGATAGATAGAAAGAAAACCCCATTGAGATAGATTGATACATAAATGACCATATTGAGATAGATAGATAGATAGATAGATAGATAGATAGATAGATAGATAGATAGATAGATAGATAGATAACCCCATTGAGATAGATTGATAGATAAATGACTATATTGAGATAGATAAATAGATAGATAGATACTATCAGACTGATACAGCTAGCTACAAACTGATGTAGATAAAAAATATAGATAGATAATTTAATAGATACACAGATAGATTAATAGATAGACAGCAATGTATATACTCATATAGATAGTTGTTAATAGAATAAGGTAAATAGATAGATAACAACTGATATATATATATATAGATAGATAGATAGATAGATAGATAGATAGATAGATCTCTATTCATTTCCAGGCATAGATAATTACAAGCATACATAGATAGATAGATAGATAGATAGATAGATAGATAGATAGATAGATAGATACTTATCTATCTATTTCCAGACAAAATTACACTTATAGATAAATGTATAAATAGCTAGCTAGCTAGATAGCTACAGAGATAGATACATAGATATGAACATACTGACATAGATAGATAGATAGATAGATAGATAGATAGATAGATAGATAGATAGAAAATATACCTCACCTTATTTCAAAGAACGAATATGAAAATAATCTCTTAATGCTCTTATGATTATTCACTGTCACAATTGACGACGCGGCCAGAGTGCAAATGTAATCTGCATTGCAGCAAGAATCAATTAAAGTTCACGAACGTACAAAGAAACAATAAACTATTAATATAAAATAAAACATAAGGAATAGTAAATATCGTTTTGTTTTTTTTATATTACAAAAGCGTGTAGTGAGGGACAATTAGATTACAAGCAGCATTTGTATATGAAACGCAATTATCAGAGTTGCTTTCATTTTTTTTTTACCAGGATTTTTACAACTGACATTCAGTCTCGAGTTCGTAATGTACAGCCTCGTTTTCGCATCCTGTATTAGGAAAGCCGACCATTTTTATTTCAAACACGTATCAAATTAAGAAATTCAATGTGTTTATTTCAGCAAGATTGTTTTGTGTTTACGCGAGGTTAAGTTATAGATTGTTGTCGCCAATTATACCAGCAATTTAATGAGACCTAAAATAACAAGTTTTAGCAATATCAAGTCAAACAAAAATAACAAACAGCCATGTTTAATTTTCGGTATTCCGTAACGCCCAAAACATGTTTACAAATGAATTAACCAAAGCAATTCAGTGCTATCGACAGCATCTAAAGAGTCTGTCACAAGTAATTTATTCTTTCTGTGTATATTTCTTTAACAATTTTTTTTCTTCGAGCTAAGATTTAACTCACTTTATTCAAAATAATATAATTTGTTTATATTTTTACATCTATATAAATAAATTCGAATGTCAGTGTGTCACACTTTTTCAACTGAGGCCGTAATCCAGTTCTGAAATTTTTGATTCCCAAGTTTTCATTACTGCGATTGTTTACGGCAATTATTGTGTGATATTTTGCGACGAAATTTTTGTACGATATCAATTTTTATAACTTGGAAATAAATTTGGGAATAATTGAAACTAACTGCGAAGTCCAGTGAAAGTCACCGATGAAATAAAAATAATTGTTTGTACGGAAAGTAAGGACCTACGTTCATCAAAATGTGTTTAAGTGGCGGCAGGAGAATTATCGTTGAACTTTTAAAAGGTAAGCTTAAATAGTAATGCAATACTTAAATGCAGAGATCAATTTTGAGTTCTTTATAATTTGTTGGTGCCTATCGCATACGAGAATTTTCCGCCAACAGAGGACCAGATTGTAATCAAAAGAAGCCAAGGCTGCAGCAAGGAAAAGAAAGTCCCGTGCAAATGAAGACCTCGTCAGTCCGGAGAGCTTCCAATGCAAAGACGTAGGGACTCTCAAACTCCTAAACAAGCCGAAGAACTAATCAAACTCTCCACAGAAGCTATCTTAATTGCTGCTCCATACAGCACTTTTAAGCTAGTATGGCATAAAATCGAATTGATTCTGAAACAGCTTATCTAAGACAACTGATGATTTACTATCGCTTCTTGCTAAAAGAATCTATCAAGCTTTAGATAAGAATGGTAAATGTCGTGCTGTTTCTCAATCACGATACCCGTAACCCCTGAGAGTCACAGGGGTACCACATGTATTGCAGCAGCAGCAGTACTGGTGTGTCTTGAGCAAGATATCCTTATGGAGTCCAACACTCTCCAGACTTGTTTGAATTAAGTTTTTTCCATACTGGTTGCCAACCAAGGCTATATGGCCAAGTTTGCACTTTTACTTACCCATA